GCTCCACCCTGACCACGCCCCCAGCCCCTCACTGGGGATTCTAGGCAGGGGCTCCACCCTGAGCCACGCCCCCAGCCCCTCACTGGGGATTCTAGACGGGGCTCCACCCTGACCACGCCCCCAGAGTCGTCACCCGGCCCTTCAGCTCTCAGAGTCCGCCGTGGCCCGGGCGGGGGAACTGAAGCAGGGGTGACCCGGGAGGAGGCCTGGTCCCTACCTCGGCGTCCGCGGAGGTCGCTGCTCCGTCCTGCCCCTCGTCCCCGCCCCGGCCGCCCGCGCTGCCCGTCCTGTGAACGCACAGCCGCGGTGCCCTCCGCCGGCCCTGCAGGAGCGGCCGTGCAGTCGTCTGCAGAGCTCTCAGGGCGGGCGGGCAGCGGCCTGGTCCTCCCAGCCTCAGTTTCCCTCGCACAGGAGCGGGGACCCCCGCCCACTCGGGGTCCGCGAGGGCCCGGTTGTCTCCCCGGCCCTGCGCCCCACCCCAGACGTCTCCACAGCCCCACCACCCCGCACCCCCGCGGTGCGCAGTTCCCCGGCCTCTCCCCCCCTCTCCCCCGGCTCCTCCAGCGCCGACGGACGCTCCCGGCGCCGGCCCGAGCCCCGGGGCCGCCGTGGCCTCCGCGAGCCCCGAGTCCGTGCCCTTCCCACGCAGTCCCAGTGCGGGGTGAGATCGCTGCGCGCAGGCGGGGCGGCCGCACCCTCCCACCCACAGCCCGGCCCCGGGGGTCAGGGCCAAGCGGGCTTCCCGGAGGAGGCGGCTCGGGGGCCCAGGCTGGATGCGGGGCGGTGACCGGGACAGAGGCCCCGCGTGGGGAGGCCGTGGACACAGGCACGGGCGGGTGTGCGGCGCCGCGCCCTCCCTGACAGCAGAGGATCGGGGACTTCACGGGTGGAGAAACCGAGGCACAGCCGGGCGGTGCTGCCAGCCCAGCCACACGGCCCGCCCGGGGCTTTCTCGTGGGCGGACCAGCGGCGGCCGGTTTCACGGGCGGCTGCAGCCCGGTATCGGTTTGCAGACGGCACAGCAGATCGCATGGGGCGGCCCGTGTGCTGGAGGGAGCGGGCACGGGGCGGGCACAGGGCGGAGGGGAGCCTGGGGGCGAGCACCGCCCTCCTCCCAGGCTGCCCTGGAGCGCACCGCGTAGCCCAGGCTGAACCCAACCTCTAGACCCTCCCGCCGAACCGTGGCTGACGCCCCTGCGGCTCAGGCCACCGGGGCTGTGGTCACAGCCACCCCCCCCCAGTCACAGCCCCCCCCAGTCACAGCCCCCCCAGTCACAGCCCCCCCCAGTCACAGCCCCCCCAGTCACAGCCCCCCACAGGTCACAGCCCCCCCCGTCACAGCCCCCCCAGGTCACACACACCCCCAGTCACAGCCCCCTGCGGTGAGGGGTGCAGGGCCTGAGGGTGGCACAGAGCAGGGGCTCGGCCGTGGACCTGGGGCCACGGCAGAACTCGGGTGCGCGGTGTGAAGCCTGAGTCCATGCGGCCTTCCGGCCTGCGGGGACGTCCTGGGTGACTCCTGAGGACACAGGGACGTCCTGGGAGGACACGGGGCAGCGCTGACGGGGAAACTCTCACCAGTCAAAGGGCGGGAACGGGCGCGGGGGCCTCCCCCAGATCCTCCGGTCTGGCAGCCATGTCCCCACCGTGTTCCCTTGGGTGTGAACCCTGGGCCTCGCGTGCGGCATAGGCGTTCGTGTGCGCTGTCTGCGGTTCTTCACTGAAGGAAGACACTGTCCCGGCTTTCCTGTATGTTGCTGTGATGAACGCCAGGACCAAAAGCAGCTGGGGGAGGAAAGGGTTATTTCACAGTCCAGGAGCTCACACACACACACACACACACACACACACACACGCACACGCACACGCACACATGCACACATACACACACGCACGCACGTACACGCACGCACACACACACACGCACACATACACACACATACACGCACGCACGCGCACACACGCGCACATACACGCACACACACACATACACACACACACGCACGCACACATACACACACATACACACACGCACGCACGCACACACACATACACACACACGCGCACATACACGCACACGCACATACACACATACACGCACACGCACACGCACAGGGCAGGGCCTGGAGGAGGGGCTGATGCAGAGGATGGAGGAGTGTTGCTTCCTTGCTTGCTCAGCTGCTTTCTTACAGAACCCAGGACCACCATGGCTGGGCCCTCCCCCACCATGGTCAGGAAAACGCCCTGCAGGCCAATCTGGTGGCGGCGTTTCCTCCGCTGAGGTCCCTCTTCCCAAACGACGAGCTTGGCAAAAGCTAACACACATCCCCTGGCTTACGGTGAGGTCGTCCTGACAAAACCATCTTAAGGAGAAAATTCAAAAATGTACACAAGGCCTGGCTTGTCTTGGGAGCCTGCGGGGGGGGGGGGGGGCGGGGATTACAGATTTCATTCCTCGGGGCTCAGTGGTTAGCGCACCAGCTGCTCTTGCAGAGGACACAGTTCAGCTCCCAGCACTCACGGGGCTGCTCACAAGCGTCTGTGACTCTGGGTACGGGGATTCCAGCGCCCTCTTCTGGCCTCTTTGCGCAGTGAACTCATGTGCACACACACAGTTGTGAAAAACATAAGACCCTCAGCCAGAGCATCACAGACAGCAGCTGTTACTTTGCCCCTGTATCCGTCCGTTTTCTTCAAGGCATCCTGTGATGAGCGAAGAGGCCTGATTTTTTTAAAAATTAGCGTGTGTGTGTGTGTGTGTGTGTGCATGCGTGTGTGTGCGTGTGCGTGTCTGTGTACGTGCGTGTGTGTGCGCGTGTGTATGTGGTGTGTGTGTGCGTGCGTGTGCGCGTGTGTGTGCGTGCGCACGTGTGTGTGGTGTGTGTGCGTGTGCGTGTGTGTGTATATGTGTGTGCGTGCGTGTGTGTGTGCACGTGCGTGTGTGCATGTGTGTGTGTGTCTGCGCGTGTGTGCGTGTGTGTGTGTGTGTATGTGTGTGTATGTGTGTGTGCACTTGAACTCACGCCTGCCCACATGTGGAAGCTGGGGTGGGAAGGGGTCGGCGTCTGGTGTCTTTCCCTGACGCTCCAACCCTCCTTCTCGCTGTCTTTAATGATCTACCTGAGGGCTTGTGCAGAGGCCAGGGGCAACTTTCGGGAGCCGTTCTCTCCTTCCGCTGTGTAGGGCCTGGGGCTCGAACCCTGGTGGTCAGGCTTGGCAGCACCTTTGCCCTCTGAGTCTCCTGCCAGCCCCGCCCTGTTCCTTGGGACGGTGTCTCTCACAGTACTGACCTCCGTGGCCCTCTGTGTCTGCTCCCAGGGCCGAGGTACAGTCGCTCCCAACTTTTATTTATTTATTGTTGTGGGGGTTTCGAGACAGGGTTTCTCTGTGTAGTCCTGGCTGTCCTGGAACTCCTGTGTAGACCAGGCTGGCCTTGAACTCACAGCCCGGCTTGCACCCAGCTTTTAAGTGTATATTAGGGATTTGAACTTGGATCTTTGAGAAAGCGTTTCCCTCTAGTAGCCCAGGCTGGTCTCAAACTCACCATCCTCCTGCCTCTACTGAGTCCTAGGACTGTGAGCACGCGCCCTCGCACCAGGCCCACGTCACTCTGGCTGCTGGTGGCCTCCCCAGCAGGACAGAAAGTCTCCACCTTGCGTAGGATTCCTGGGCTCCGTAGGCCCGGATTCCAGCATTCGGCCAGTGTGCCTCTCCCTGTGGCCTCCCTCTGACGTAACCGTGGCTGAGGAACTGCTCCCAGGGTCCAGCAGGACCAGTCTTGCCACCTCACTCTTCCCCAGTGCTGGGCCCTGGCCGCCCGCCCTCGGCTCCCTGCTCGAAGCTTTTTGTTGTTGTTGAGACAGGGGTTCCCTGTGTAGCCCAGGCTGGCCTCAAACTCACTGTGTAGCCCAGGATGACCTTGACCAGTCCCAGCTGTTTGGATGCAGACCACACCAATTCTTTGATGTCGTTGTCTGGGACAAGGTCTCACTCTGCGGTTCTCTGGGTGATCTGGAACTCACAGCCATCCCCCTGCCTCAGTCTCCCATATGTCAGGATGACAGGCCTATGCCTCCATGCCTGGGTAGAGAATGGAATTTTTCCTGGTTTGATGATGGACTTCTCTGGTGATGTAGGAATAAAAAGCAAGTCCCAGACTGGCAGTATGGCTGAATGGGTAAAGCTGCTTCGTGCCAAGCCTGAGGACCTGAGTTCGATCCTGGGACCCACATGGAGGAGGACAAGAGCTGATGCTAGAGAGCGGTCCCTGATCTCAGCAGTGTGCCTGGGACTTCACCTCACAAGTAAGTAAGTAAAATTAGTGTAATTCAAACACTTCATATTTCAAAGTCAAGTCCCTTTCTTCCTCCTCTTTTTCTCCCTCACCAGCATCCTGAAGGCCCCAAGGTCCTCAGTTCCCACCTCCCTGCAACAACCAAGGCCTCCACCCACACCTCCCCGGCATGGCCACACAGGCCCCGGCCTCCACGTGGGCAGGAGCAGGGCCCAGAGCTCGCACTGTGCGAGGCTGTCCCGGAGACTGCCCGGCCCTGCAGGCCACACAGGGTCCACCTGGACGGCCCATCCTGCCCGCACTGTGCTCCTGGCGTCTCTGGGACAGATTTGGGATCCCTGGGCCCCGGCCTAGCTAGGATCCTCAAGGTCATCCTGAACCTTTCCGCGTCACAGAAAATTCCAGGCATGTCCAGAAGCCAGGAACGCGCTCTGATCCACCCGCCAGCCCCAGATCCACAACAAGCCGGCCACAGTGCTCACCCATGCCCCAGCCCCCCGCCCCCCACTGGCCAGGGTCACATGCCACATCTGAGATGCAGACCTGCCTCAGCTGTCAACATATCCCCCAAACCCTGCACCCTGCGGCTGGACCCCGGACTCAGTTACTGGAGCACCCGTCATCCCAGCACTGGGAGGTGGAGGCAGGAGGATCAGGGGTTCAAGGTCATCCTCAGCTACATTGACAGTTCCAGCACAGCCTGGGCTACAAGAAACAGACAGAGCCGGGGAAGGGCTCAGGGGTCGAAGGTTTGCTGCGGGAGAGCTGAGTTCATATCCCCTGGAACTGGAGTTAGGCTGCGAAAGGTGGGTGCTCACCACCCCCCCAGCACCAGGGGCCCGAGGCAGGAGGACCCCTTGGGTTCGGCGCTCATTCTGGCTGAATTGCTACGGTCCTGGTTCAGCGAGACACCCTGCTTCACAAACACAGCAGTGGGCGATTGAGAGACACGATGTCGATCCATCCTCCCCAGAAGCTGTGCCCAGTGTTCGGGTGCAGGGACCCAGGCAGCAGCTGGCATGGGGGCCCCCAGGTTCCCCATGTACTTGGGGGCTGCTCAGGGGCCCCGACCCAGGCCCGAGGCTCACATGGCCCGGGCATGGCTGTCCTCATCAACGTCCTTGCCGGTAGCTCTGGTCACCATGTCTCCCCCATCCCTGCGTCTACCGGGACGTGAGTCCCAGATGGTCATGGTGGAGGATGCTGGGCACCCCCACAGCCTGGCTGGGGTTTGCTCCGCTCCAATACGGTTCTAGAACATCCGCAGTCCCAGAAGCTGACCCTGGGTGGCCTTGCTGGGACATGGCTGTCCCTGATGCCCTGATGGTGCTCAGGGCCCCAGTCTCCAGCAGAAACACGGACTCTCTGGTGCCACAGATCAGATTAAAATAGACTCCGACGGCAGGAAAACACGCTCAGTCCATCTCCAGGCTGACTTGTCACAGCCCGAAGCATGGCAACTGCACCTGGGTCTGAACATTTGGGAGGCTGAGGCAGGGGGATTGCCATGAATTAGAAGCCAACCTGGGTTACACAGTGAGACTCTGTTGCAATAGTAATGATGATAACTATCATTATTCGATCCCATTAATACATTATTTCTTTTTTTTTTTTTTTTTTTTGGTTTTTCGAGACAGGGTTTCTCTATGTAGCTTTGCGCCTTTCCTGGAGCTCACTTGGTAGCCCAGGCTGGCCTCGAACTCACAGAGATCCGCCTGGCTCTGCCTCCCGAGTGCTGGGATTAAAGGCGTGCGCCACCACTGCCCGGCAATACATTATTTCTTAATCCCAGCACCCTGGAGGCAGAGGCAGATGGATCTCTGTGAGTCTGAGGCCAGCCTGGGCTACATGAGACGCTGTCTCAAAACAAACAAACAAAAAGTAACAAAACCCTAAACAAACAAAAGAGAGAGCAAGTGTGTTACCCCCCAACTTTGTCACCCACCCCAACCCAGGTCAGAGAGCTCATTGCCTCACCCAGGGGGAAGGAAACTGAGGCATGCCTGGGTTTGCACCCTCAGTCTGTTACAGGGCGAGTCCGCTCGCTGGGGCTCTGTGCACCGCCCGCAGGCACGGGTTGCCATGGGGAAGGAGAGCCGCACTGCGACCTCCAGCTTGAGTTTCCAAACCAGGAGGTTTTTCTTCTTTATTTATTCATTTTTGGCTCAGTGGATGGAGGCCAGGTCTCCGCCCCTGATCACCACTGAGGCTGGAACACAGCCTCCCAAGGCATCCTAGCCTCTACAACCCCAGGGCCTGCCTGGGGCCCTGTCGCCTCTGGAAGGGGCCGTACCCAGGTGTGTCCCTCTGGCAGGCCTTGACTGAGTTGTGTGTGAGTGTATATCCTGCTTCTGAATATGTTTCTAAAATCATTTTATTATTTATTATATTTATTTATTTTGTCTAGGGGGCAGGGACTGCATGCCTTGCTGCTCATGTGCAGGTTAGAGGGCAGCTTGTGGGATTCAGGTCCCTCCTTCTGCCATGGGGGTCCAGGGATCGAACTCAGGTCCTCAGGCTTGGCTGCCAGCCATTTCACGGCCCCTTCTTGCCTGTGGATGGGAAGCACTCAGAGCATGCAATTGTCCTGGGATTGCAGAGGCTGTGATACTCCTGCCAGGCCATCTCCCCCAGGCACCTCACACCTTGATCCAGGAGGCTGAGGCAGGAGGATTGGGAGTGTCAGGCCACCCTCCGTCACACAGTGAAACACTGTCTCAAACAGGAGGAAAGAAGGAGGAAAAGAAAGTCTTGGGTTCATCTGAAGCGGAGTCAGCTGCCAGCCTGCATTTTGTGGTAGACACTTCTGCACTTCACTGAGAAAGCCAAGGCCCAGAGAGGCTGAGGAACTGCCCAGGGTGGCACAGCCAGATGGCAGACAAGGCTGCGTCCAAGCAGAGCACCTTCAGCTCGTCACACGCGTCCTCTCCACCTGGACTCGGGCATCTGGCAGCCAACCTGGCGGGCCGGGCCAGCAGCGGCTGGGTTTCACTGTCAGCGCAGCGGCTGGGTTTCACCGTCAGCACGGGCGTCCGCTGGCTGCCACGCTGCTGGACTCCAGCGTCACTCCTGTGACCCAGTCAGTCTCAGCTGCCGCTGTCACCTGATACTCGGCAAACATTGTCCCCACGGCTGCCGCTGCAGGTTCAAGGTGGGACAGGGCCTCCACCAGGGCCAGCGCCGGCGCCCTGCCGCGATGCCCGTGGAAGCGCTGAATTCAGACACTTAGTGTGTCTCTCAAGATCAACAAGTTCCCACACTGGCCCCAGAGCCCAGCTCTCCGCAGGCTGAGGCAGGAGAGTAACCATGAGCTCCAGGCAAGCCTCAACAAATAAACAAAACAGCTAATTATGTGCAGGCCTGTGTGGCCAGTGAGTGCGTCTAAGGACCCAGGAGGTGGGCGTGCTTGGGAAACCTCGACCTTCCTCTGTCCTGTGGGCCCCTGAGCCGCCTCAGCCTTATCAGGATGGAGGAACAGTGATCCGTACAAGACACAAACACCCAGAGCCTGGCGGTCAGAGCCAGGCTGGACAGAGGGGGGGGGGGCGCTGGGCGAGGCAGGGAGGAAGCCAAGCCCCGAGCAGCAGAGGAAGGGTCTACGTGGGATTTTGAAGGGTGAGTAGAAGTGTGCCAGCAAGAACGAGGCATCCTAGCGGGCGGTGGCGGCGCAGGCCTTTAATCCCAGCACTCGGGAGGCAGAGGCAGGCGGATCTCTGAGTTCCAGGCCAGCCTGGGCTACAGAGTGAGTTCCAGAACAGCCAGGGCTACACAGAGAAACCCTGTCTCAAAAATCAAGAAAAGAAAAAAGGACAAAGGCCCTGGAAAGGGACGTGGCCAAACTGGATCTAGGTCTGTGTTTAGGGGACCCGCGGTCCCGGGGTCCCTGTCGCTCCAGGAAGCAGCCGGGCCGCGGGAGAACAGCCCTGGGCGGCCTCCTGCGCGCCCTGGGCTCTGACCTGCCCCCACCCATCGCCTTTTGTTTTGCCCACGCAGGGAACAGCCTGTTCCTGGGAGGGGACTCTGCATTCCTCAGGCAGTCCTGTGCCCCGCAGCACCCCTGCCCGGCCACAGTGCCCCGGGAGGAGCCAGGGGCCGCCCGCTTGGCCGGGGAGGGCAACAGTCCAGCGCTGACCCCTGATCTTGCCCTGGGCCAAAGGTTCACAGCCGAGGAAACACCCGCTCTTCCGGCCTGCGCTGCATCCCTAGGGCCTCCTAGGACCCCCCAGGCCCCCCCCAGTCCTGCTCACCCCCCAGCACCCCCCCAGTCCCGCTCACCCCCCAGGTGACGCTGCCGTCTGCCGGGGACCACACAGGCTGTCCCCTGTGGCTGGAACGCCCTTCCCCGGCAAACTCCTCTTCATCCGTCCAAACTCCAACGCCGACACAGCTCCGCTCTGTGTGGCCGGGACCCTGTCCCTCCCGCCCCCATCCCGGTGTCCCTGGCACCCCGCGCCACCGACTTAGTCCCTGGGGCAAATGGGTTTCGGCCCAGGGTTGCCTCTGCTGCGCCCCAGGTCTAATTGGCACCGTCGTCGGTCCGGGGAGCCAATCCCGTGGCCTCGCGAGACCGTGGTCACGCGGAGCCCGGAGGTGGGCGGGGCTGGCGGGGCAGACCCCGGCAGGGGGATTGCTCTCTTGGGCCCTTCCCCGCTGTCTTCCCCGCCCCCGTGGCTGGCACCGCGCCCCGGCCGGGCACCGCTTCCTCCGCAGCTGTTGGGGACTTTCCGAACATCACAACCGGGGCGGAGGGGTCAGGGCCGGGGCGCGGTGGGCAGAGTGCCGGCCTGGCACCCGGGGGGCACACACCGTGCAGCCCGCGCTGACAGGTGGAGGCAGGGCGATCAGAGTTCGAGGCCAGCCTGGGCTACACGAGACCGTCTCAAAGGCGAACAAAAATAAAAACAAGCGGGGGTCTGGAGGCGTCAGAGCTGCGCGGGAGCGAAGGTCCGGGGTCGGGGCTCTGCGCGCTCGGGAACAGCGGGCGGGCGGAGGCGGGGACAGGGTGTCCTGTAACCAGAGCCCGGCAGCCCCCTCCCCGGCACCCCGGCTTCCTGCTGGACAGACTGTGCCCGGGGAGGGCGAGGGCAGCGGCGAGGGCGGCCGAGCCGGGCGCAGATTCCTGAACGGCCGCCCGGCCGGGCCGGCTGCCAGCGCGGAGCAGGTGTCTGCGCCCTGCGTGCCTGTCACCCGGGGCGCGCAGGGAAGGGGCCGGGGGCTCACACCGCGCCCTGGCCAGGCGGATCCGGGGCCCCGATCCTGCGCCCGCGGGGTGAGGCCCGGCGGTGGGAAGGCGGCTGTGGTCCCCGCCCGCCCCTCTCGCCTCCCCCGAAAACCCCTGTGTGGGGATCGGGTCGCAGCGCCGGCTCGGGTGTCGCCCTGGAACTGCCCCGTGCTCTGCCCGGACAGCGCAGGGCTCAGCTGGCAGCGGGTCCCGACCCCGCGACGGACCCTCCTGGGCTGCAGACCGCGGCCCTGGGGCGGCTGCGGGACCCCGGGCCCAGGAGACCCCCCTGCTCCCCAGTGCTGGGGCTAAATAATAATGGAGTCGATGTTATTATTGCTACAGCCTCATTAGGTAGTCCCCTGCCTCAGCTTGCTAAGTGCTGAAGCTGGTGTTAACTGTTCACATCCTGCGCGGGGCGATCACGTGCAGACCACACGTGGAAAGTCACACTCTGGGGACCTCAGAATCGCAGACACCGATCTCAGGGGCGCAGTCGGGTCCCCGGCACCCACGCGGGCTCCACCCACGCGGGCTCCACCCACCCGGGCCCCACCCACCCGGGCTCTCACCCACCCGGGCCCCACCCACCCGGGCTCTCACCCACCCGGGCCCCACCCACCCGGGCTCCACCCACCCGGGCTCTCACCCACCCGGGCTCTCACCCACCCGGGCTCTGTCACCCACCCGGGCCCCACCCACCCGGGCTCTGTCACCCACGCGGGCTCGCACCCCCCCACCCCCACCCCCGGCTCGCAGCCCCCGGTTCCAGGCCCTGAGGCCCCTTCCCGCCTCTGAGCACTGACGCAGGAAAACCACAAGTGCACCGATCTGGTGACCGGAGCAGCCGCGGCCCAGGTGAGGTCCGGGCGGGTCCGAGCCGCACAGTGAGACGCGGTCCCCACGTCCAGAGTCGCCTTTAATGTACAGAGTGGCGGGGTCACCGCGGGGACGGCGGGTCCTGGCGGCGGTGACCGGGCGGCCCACGGCCCGGGTCCCTGAGCAGAGCCTCTCCGGGCGGGTCACGCGCAGCTCTGGACTCACCCGGTCACCAGGCCTCAGAAGCCGGAACCCCGGACCCTCACTGCCCACACGTCTGTCCCTGGGCCTCTGTCCTGCTCAGTGTGGCCGTGATTAAGCCCTGCACACCTGGGCTCCCCACCCTAACATGGGGGCGGTGGGCTCTGAGCTCCAACCCTTTCCTGTCTTGTCTGCTTGCGGAGCGAGCTCCTGTTCATACGCCAAAGCCCCAGCTGGGACACCCGCTGGCAGCCTTCTGCCTCCCCTGGTTCTGGTTCCACGGGACGAAGCGTTTACCCCACTGTCTCTCCTGACCACAGGCCTCTAGGGACGTCTGGCTGGTCGGATGCAGAGAACTGGAGGCCCGGGGCGCGGCCAGTCACAGAAGTCGCCTGCCGCTCCTCAGCCCGGGCTGCAGAGGCGGAGAATCTCGAACCTGGTACCGAGGTCGCTCACACTTCAGCAGGTCATGCAGCGCGGCCTCACGGCCTCTGAGAGTGGGTGGGGGTCCTCCTGACGGACGGACGGGGTTCCCAGTCAGCCAGGCCGCCCAGCGGCGGCCCAACCCCGGGCTGGTCGGGGAACCAGGGGAACCGCCATCAGGGGTCAGGGGTCAGGGGGAAACCGCCATCAGGGGTCACCAGGGGAACCGCCGTCAGGGGTCAGGGGTCACCGCCGTCAGGGGTCACCAGGGGAACCGCCGTCAGGGGTCAGGGGAGCCGCCGTCAGGGGTCACGGGAACCGCTGTCAGGGGTCAGGGGAGCCGCCGTCAGGGGTCACGGGAACCGCAGTCAGGGGTCACCAGGGGAGCCGCCGTCAGGGGTCAGGGGAGCCGCCGTCAGGGGTCACCAGGGGAACCGCAGTCAGGGGTCACCAGGACGGTGTGAGGCCCCGACATGAGCGTAGGAGTTCGTTTTCTATCTGGGACAAGCCCTGCCACGTAGCCCAGGCTGGCCTGGATCTTGTGACCCTCCTGCCTCAGCCTCCCCAGGACCCCAGGCCGGCCGTCCACCCCGCTGGCTCACCCGCAGGCGCAGGCAGCGTACCTCAGAGTACAGCGGAGGCGGCCGGTAGCGGAACTCCTGCAGACAGGCCAGGTAGGGCCCTGCCAGGGCCGCCGCGGGGTCGCCGGGGCCGGGGCCGGGGGCGGCGGGGGGCGGCGGGGTCCCCCTCACCACCGCAGAGTACTCGGGAGGCGCTGGGGGGAGGACGGGACGGTGACACGGTTACAACCGGACCTTCCCGGGACAGCGCCACTGTTGCCCTGGCCGACCTGCAACTTGTAGCAATCCTCCTGCCTCCGCGGGGACTTGGGCCCACTCTGGTTCTGACTATTGCTCCCTTCTGTTTTTGGGGACAGATCTCACGCAGAGCGGCGCACGGTGGCGCGGCTGCTGCCCGTCCCCACGCCCTGCCCCGGAAGGTGGCCTCGGCGTGCTGGGATCAGACCCCGCTGGCACAGGGACCCCGGGGCGCGCCTCTGCCCACCCGCGTCCCTGGCGGCGGCCGAGCTCACCCTCTGGCCACTCCATCGTGGGGCACAGGCCCCAGGGTCGCGGGAAGCTGGCGCGGCTGCCCACGCTGGCCGAGCGGCCGCCCAGCGGGTGCAGGGGGACGGTGCCGATCACCAGCGGCAGCTCCAGCAGCAGCTTGGACGAGCCCGGGATGTCCACGCAGACCT